CGAATTCACAAAAATGACCTGTTTCTTTGGTTTGAACGGGACCCCGAGTTGCAGAGCACAGAGGAAATTGACCGTTGCAGAGAAGTGACCGTTAGTGGAGGTTCGAGTGTAGTTTTTGTCTGTTGTCTGAAAAAAAGGCCAATACTAAACACAACTTTTTTCCAGCATGGCAACACACCATATAAAAGTGCGCAATCGTCGGCTGAGTACCCGTGGTTACGCACATATGGGGTAAGTGCAGAGAAAGACATTATTGTCTCTCTCAGGAGTCTTGTCTATTTCCATACCATAAAAATAGAGATTTACGGAAAATTAAACTTAGTTAAATCTCCATAAAGTGAATCATCCAACTCTACGCTTACATTAAAATGTCGTTAAAGGTCCTTAAAGCTAACATTTACGCCATACCGTGTGTAAAGTTGACGCAAACTGGGTTAAGGACTTACGTGCCCAAAATGTTCCCACGTACAGTTTTTGTTTTCTTTTTTCAAACTTGCCATGGAGTAAGGAAAAGATCCACTTTTGCCACAAAGGTAAAAAAGTGGCGGGTCACCGTGCTCATTTTCGAGGTAGACCATGCATTTCTATAAACTTTCGAAGAGAACTTCAGTCGCACGAAAGCAGAAAAGGCGAAATGTTTTGAACTTCTCAGGTACAGAATTTCACCTCGTAGTGTGTTATGCTTATCTTAAATTTACGACAGTATTACGCCAGCTTTACACGGCAGTAAAGTTACGTTTTCATGCTAGATTTTTGGGAGTTGTTCTGTCTGTTTTAGTGACGAGTTGCTTTTCTTCAGTTACAGACTAAAAGAGAGTCAATCAGCCAAGGTGATCAGGTATAAAGTCAAATTTTATCCTTGGTTTTCTTTTGTTATCGTTGTACTACTGTTGTTGTTGTTTGTGTTAATAATGACGTAGTGCAATAAGCGTAATGTTTTGTTTTCGAAACAAATCTACTCATAACACGGTGGTTTATCACTCCAGCCAATCAAAGCGACCCAATGATTTAATCAAAATTCGGGGCATTTGTGTAGTCGGTGCGTTGCGGGAATGGGTTTCCCCCTATTTGTAGGGCAGCCGGCAAAAATTGAAGCGTCGAAAGTATGCCAATTAACTCTTAAAAACTTTCGACGATACAAATTTTGCTGGATTTATGTATAGCCGCGTGCTGCAAAATGGCGAATATTAAACGTAACTTTTCTCCTGGTGGGTGGCGATAAGGATGGTCAGCAATCGGTGGGAAAATAAATTTTCGAAAATTTAAGGTGGCTCTGAACCCTACCTACAGAATTTTTTTAAACTTTGCCAAAGTTGCGTCTTATCATGCTTTTCAAAGGTTGATAATATAAAAAAAATTTGCCGTGCCGTTTTTGAATTATAAGCCCCTAAAGCTGTAATTAAGGGTGTTTTTAGGAGGTCATACTGTTGCTATGGTAACCTATTGCATCACGAAAATAATAACAACGTGTTCACCAATGATTGGGCTGTTTTCTGATACCATGATTGTAGCATCAAGTGATAAAGAGTGGTTATAACGACCCATCAAAATCTAAGTGCTAGAAACTGTTTTGAGCCACCTTAAAGATGACGTAAACGCACCATCTACATCACAAGTGATCGTGAGGACTTCGCCAGATTAGGTAGCATAAAGTTAGCATATTATTATAGGTTGCTTTAAGCAACTACTTAAGTTTGATGTTTTGAAAGGTGTAGGTTTCCATTAGAAGTGTTGAAAGTATAATTTCTTTGTCTTCTTTGCATGTTTTTTTATTACCATTTTAAAAGCGAAAAAGTTACATAACTACGGACAAGGCAGGCGGGTACGTATAAGTCATATTATATTTTCTCATTAACCAAGTTATTTCAGAAGTGTAGCAGCTTTCGTAAGCTGGTACTGTTGTATTACTATAGCAGCTGTTATTGTTTTAGGGCTAGGTGCTTTGTTTCTGTTGTTTGCTCTTTTGTTCTCTTCAGGGTATCAGTCTACTCAGGTCAGACTTTACGAGGGCTGCTACATGACCCAGTTATTTTGTAATTCTACAGATTGATGCAAGGTCCAAAAATTTCGAATATAAAGATGTGCAGGAATGAATGTCACACGGTCGAAAATCGAGTGCCTCGAAAACAAAGATCCCGTGGTGAGGGGGTGGGGGTGGTGGGAGGTTCGAGGCTTGCAGACGTTTATTGGCATTTAGTGTTCCTTTACGGCTCAGTGTTTCAGGTGTACCGGCCAAGAAAGTACGGCACTCACTATCTTAAGTCATACACAAGAACAAACTGTAGTGACTGCCGTTATATCTCTGACTCTGTAACTGACATAAAGGTTACTTGTTCTTCTTTGCAATAGAACAAAGTGGGTAAGCCGCACGCTAGTTCACGTGACTTTGGCTTTGATTGTAACTCGACTACTACCTAAATGCAACACTACTTTTGTGATAGCATTTTGGGTGAAAATGGAGCCGTCTGCCAGCTCTTTCGGTGGGAAATAAGCTCGAGCACAGGCGAAGATTGAAGACCAGACACAAGGGGATGGCAGAAATCCGCGATACAACGGAGAAAAGTCACCAACAGAGACTTAAAGCTTTGCTAAGCCGCAGGCACAGGAAAAAATTTGTTTAATTATTTTTTAGTGTCCACAATTAGCCTCCAAGACGAAATCTTTCAGACACTGAAATAAAGTTTATACACGTATGTTTCTCTTTCTTATGCTTATGCTTGTGCCTATTTCACCTCGGTGTCCAATAGCATTTTCTTTTGCTAATGCTGGAGCTTTTGCTTGCTCACAAGTGTGAACCAGGCGTTTTAGCTTATCTGTAGTTGACTTAATTTATTTATCTAGTTAATGTTTCCTCACAGCGTTCGAGATCCCTTGACCAAGAGGAATCAGATAAGAAAAGCCACCAGACGTTACCAGCGGAAGTAGATGGTGCTCTGCAAGACCTGATGACCAAATGCAGGCGCAGAACCAATGACAGTCTGGACAGTTTACTTTGTTGCTTAGAGTGTAGTCATGAGTAGAAATAAAGCATGGCTAAAAATCTAGTTGTTTGCTTATGCCGTCGATGTATAATAATCGCACGAGCGCGCGTTGGATTTGAGATGGTAGAGAGCCAACGAACGTAACGCCGAGTGGGCTATAATCATCTCATATACAACAAGCGCGACAGGATCGGATAATTGTTTATTAACCTCCTCCTCCCCAATATTGAAAGCTAAAACGAAATGAAGTAAGTTAAAAACGTCTCAGAAAATTACGAATACCCTTACCATATTTGTAGAGCATGGTGTAATAAAGACTTGGTTCATGTTTAGCGGGTGTTTATCGAGTTACGGATGCACGCGGGAAGTTTGGAGAGCACAGGAGAAGCGTGAGCAACTTTAGCTTCCTGAGTGCTCTCCAAACTTCCCGAGTGCATCCATAACTCGATATACGCACATCTAAAAGCATGAACCAATTCTTGTACATACCATGATGTCTCAGTCAATGAAAACTCTCGAATTGCATTATCCAGTGATGTTAATTTAATCGTCATATTCATTACACCGAAATTGTCAACATAACAAATTATAGCGACGACGTGGGCAGTCAAGACACCCTTGTATTGTAATCACTAGAAACGAGATCGGAGAATGATTTTTTTTTTCCAATGGGTGGGATTAGTGGTAGATTTTGAAATTATTAGAGATACGTAAGAAGAGAACACGTCAACCACGGGATTGTAAAGAATTTCCTTGAGAGTGTGAAGATGGCAGGTGTTAAATAATTGTTAGATCTTTGATGTTTCGCTCTTGCCGTTCACAGAATGATTTGAAATAACTTTAGAAATTAAACATTTATTCCCTGTGGGTTTGTGTTCATTTGCTGTCATACAATGAGCTCTTGCTAGCCTACATGTAGTAAAACATCTTTATCTCGTCTTATCAAGTACAAAACCAAAATGAATCGTGACTTTCACCATTCCATCAATTTTCTTCATTTGCCATGCCACGTGGGGAAAAAATAAACTGTCATGGAACCTTCAAAATTAATGTTTCCAGTTGTTTCTCAAGCAACTCATAACCAACACTGGTGACACTTAAAAAAAATCGTTGACTACAGTTCAATGAAAAAAAAAAAGTCGTTGTAAATGGGATGCAGACATAAAACCCAAATTTGTGTACTCGTGTCTGCTTACGCCATCGCAGCGATCTCACTACATCGTAGTGGACCATAGTGAGATACGTAAAGTGGATCATGAAATGAGTCGAATTCATCATCGAATATTGAGCTTAACTATTTCGGTACAAAACTTAAAATATTAAATCCTCTTCTTGATTTGAGACATTCCTTTAAGTCTTCGCGGTGAGGATGAAATATCGTCTGGTGGTTGATTTCCTGTAATTTGTCTTCGTGGCAATGTTGACATTGTAGGCAAAAACGAGTTAAATGGAACTAGTGATTTTGACATGTATAAAAATTAATGTTATTTATATTTGCTCTGTAGTATTGGACTATTAAGTGGAACCAGCTTGTGTGGTTTTCAAAGTCTGATAAATCGTTTTTCATTGATAGATAGATAGATAGATAGCAATCTTGGATCAAACATGATAGGCACATTTGAATTTCCTCCGCTCCTGATTGGTTCACGCTACTGATTCTGCGGAAGTATTTATCAATACCTGTGTTATAAATAAGAACAGAATTTTTTTAACAAACAAAAGTCCTTTCAATAGGAGTCGTGTCGTTACCGAGCTGATAACTGCTATCGAGAGAAGATAACATGGAGAAGTTTGCTCTTATCTTCATCGCAACAACTCTAATTCTCTCGAATTTTACTAATGCGAGAAGTCGTTGGACAAGAGATGTTCAACCCCCGAAAAGTTTCCTTTGGAAAGTTTCTACCTTTCACAGACCGTGGTATTCGGGACGAAGAGAAGCCGAATTCCCCAAGAAGGTATTTGAAAATGCGCCCTAAACTTTTCGCGTCATAGAAATCGCAGTAACAAAGTGATGCCACAACTCTAAACTTTCTTCAGTTAGTTTCCAGTGTTAAATTAACATAAAACAATAGACAGGCTTTGGTTTGAAGTCGCCAGCTAACAATATAAGTTTTAAAAGTCTTTTCCAAGAGTTTTTCTTTTGTAACGTCAGCATCCTGTACTTTATGTGGAGTGGTACATGCAGATAAGTCCATTCTGACCCTCGACAAACTTGACACAAAAACACAGCACTATCTAGCATAAATTAGTGGTACGAGAGAACTTTAGAATAACATACAAAAGAAGCTTGATATCCTGCGGAGATTAGCGTCGTGACAGGAAAAAAAATGAAGCAAAATGTGAATGAATTGATCTGATCAAGCGGGATTAACATTGTATAATTGTGACAGTTTACGAACAATCAAGAGCACTAGTTACTGGAAATTTTTCCACTTACGATATAAAAGAGTTTTATCTTCCTTTCAACAACAAGAAAGCGAATAAGGGTTATACTTTGTGTTCAAAATAAGGCCTTTGAACATGATAACAACTTCATCTGGATTTTTTTTTCAAGGGGAAGATATATATCATATTAAGGCCTATTAGTATTTTTAGTGTTCAGTGGGTGGTATTTCTGGGCATGATAAATGAAAAATGTTGTCAGGAGGCGCATTAGTCCAGTTTTAACACAGAACGTGTCCGGTTCAAAGGGGAACGAGTAACCAATGTTTTGCCAATTATCAGACCGGTTAAATCAATTCTCCTTTGTTTAAAGCCTTTGGTATTGATATAGCATGGACGTAGGGTTTCTCATTTGTGCCCAATAGGTAGATAAGTTTAAACTGCAAAGCTAAACATTGCGTTTACAGAAATGATTGTTTGACTTTTTTTAATGAATTATCGATGATTCTTGACGTGGTACAATAGTTTTCGTTTGAATTACAAGAAATTATCAGTAATTAATCGGAGTCTTTACCGGTGCAATTAAACCCACTAGACATGGTGTTCTCCGGTCTTCCGATTGCGTCTGCCATTAACAGGTTATAAATCAGTTTGTGCGGAAGAGAGGAGAGTCAATTCAAATTGAGCGAGGGAGCAAAGATTTTATTTACCAGCCAAAGCTGTCAAATCAGTTTAAAAGAAAGTGCACGTCGGACGAAGCATTCGACTTGAAACTGTCCACTCGGCCGGTTTTCAAGACTGTCCAGGGAGGCAAGCCGTAAATTTGCTACGAATAATGATAATTAAAAACACGAAACACAAAATTGACAAAGAAGGAAAAACACCTGTAAAATACCTTATTCTGTAACGCCGCGGCGTGATATGTTGGTTTGGGTATCGATCCTCCTTCCTTGTACTATAAATTTTTGTGAAATTAAATTTGAAAACAAAATTGCGTTGACGAACGAAGAGCTAAGCTGATTTTCGGAAAGAACGCTTCGGCAAATGATAGGTCCGTTTGATTCAGTTTTCTTTTTCTTTGTCTTTATGCAGGTTTAGTTAAACAATGTAAAAAGGCTATCTCAAGAGCTGTTACTTGCATATAACCATAGAACTGGAACTTTTATTCCAACCCATCAGACCAAAGCTATCGCTAAAAGAATTCCTTTAACTTATCCAAAATATATCTTAGTGCTTTTGTGAGCATTTCATTGTATTCCTGGCTAGATCCAAATTTGCGTTTCATTTACTCAGTGATATCTGAATAAGAAAAGACAAAAGAGAAACCAAAGATTATTTCACTTTGCATATCCATTGTATACAATATTTATCCACCTTTTCATCATGCCTACATGGGGGTTATTGACCGGGTCATCATACTTTTAAGAACAGCTTTTTGAAGCACATCGTCTTATCACGCTTCCTAACACTAACGAACGCGCGTAAGGTTTAACAAAAGTTCCTAAGTCTTGTCTTAAGATACCGAGCAATAGCGTTTTCTGTTTGCCCTAAATTTCGTTTAAACAATTACAATTTATTATAATTATTGCATTGACAATTTCATTATTAATTTCTCAAAGCTGACTTTTCCTGTCAAGTTTTGGGTTTCTTTATACCCTTTCTTTACGCACATTATAGGTTTCTTTTCGTAGAGGTTATCTGTCCAATCAATGTTCTGTAAGATTTGCTACATAAGCCGCGTTGATCAAGGAAAGAAAATCGTCAGTCTAAAGAAGGTGGAAATTGCTCATTTTCATCGTAAGCAGTGTCTAATATCAGATCAGTTTTCTATTATTGATAGGTCACTTCACATTTCCCACTCAGTACTTCCTTCTTGTTTCAAATGCTAATCCTCTAACTCAACAATTGGCTCACCCACCACTGACTGTGGTGACTGTGTGTACAAAGCGATTGACATAAATTTCCTTTTCAGGACAAGAGAGTTTCATTGTCTTTTCTTGTTTCCTAGCACTGATCGCTTCCCGATCGTAAGATTTCTTCTGTCTCGGTCGTTCTTAAAATTCATCATATAAAAATCGTAGTTGATCCCAGATACAATTTAAGTCTCTTTTTTACCTTACTTTAATCTAGCTGATTCAGTAAAAGCTCATTATCTCTTGATAAAAGTGAAAGCGATGGAAAGAAGAGGGCACAAAGCGCAAATTAGCTTATTCTCTCTTTCAAGTAGATTGCCAACTCGTCAAATTTAATATGCCTGACACTATTAAGACCACTTGATTGAGTTTTGCAGCGTTATTTTAATTAAAAGTGTCATAGAACCACTACCTATTAATTTTCCAATTTGTCATTTTCAGGTAATCAAGACATCAATTTATTCCTTTAATTCTTTTCGTCAGAAAATCAACACCAAGTGAAATTAGCATCAATACAATGTGTTTTAATATTCTGTTAAGTATAACTGCATCACTACAGGACATCAGAGTTAGATTTAACTGTATAAGTTTTCACTATACATGCTAAACAGTTTTAGTTCCTAACAAAACCACTGTTAAAAAAGTTTGAGTGATACAGTATTTTAAAGAAATAGTTTTGGAATTGTATTCTCGTTATATTGTTTTCAAAACGATTGAATGGACAACGGTTTCAAAACTTCTCAAATTAAACCGGATGTCATGAAACCGACAAATCGTTATAAAAGGGCTTAGCGGTTCTTTGTCGTGAATAGTAAAGTTGAAACGAAATCATCGTTAATCTGTCAAAAACATATCAGGTAAGACCATTCCCATCCGATGTATAACTTGAAGATGGCAAGATTACTTCAATTTGCTGCAATTCTCTCTTTAACCGTTTCGTTGTGCGCGTTAAGAACGAAAGGAGAAAATGAATTGGAATCTGTTACGAACAAACAAAAAGGTTTGAAGATGCTCAGCCACAGACCGTGGTATTCTGGTAAACGCGACGATTATCGTTTACGCAGCGAGGTAGGCAAAAAAATCTCTGCTAATTAAACAGTAAAAAGTTGGAGACAAAATTACTTTCTTTTTCAAGTGCTAAATCGATGACAAGCAGTACGCTTTTCGCCTTTGTCTATTTAAATAAAACTGTCGATTTTGTCGGTTCTATGGATAACACAGTTTCGCCGAAAAACATGTCCGAACAAACGTAAGAATAGTTACTTTAGCAATCTTTCTATTTAAAACATGAAATAACGCAACCACGTGAAATTTATGTCGAAGATACCGTAGGTCACCTTTAAAAGTGTTACTGCTTTGCACTAAGCATGCTACATGCTAAGGAATAGCAACAAACTTGAGAATACTTACAGAAACGTTCGATGCATGCAACGATGTTAACCTTGTGNCTGTAGTTGACTTAATTTATTTATCTAGTTAATGTTTCCTCACAGCGTTCGAGATCCCTTGACCAAGAGGAATCAGATAAGAAAAGCCACCAGACGTTACCAGCGGAAGTAGATGGTGCTCTGCAAGACCTGATGACCAAATGCAGGCGCAGAACCAATGACAGTCTGGACAGTTTACTTTGTTGCTTAGAGTGTAGTCATGAGTAGAAATAAAGCATGGCTAAAAATCTAGTTGTTTGCTTATGCCGTCGATGTATAATAATCGCACGAGCGCGCGTTGGATTTGAGATGGTAGAGAGCCAACGAACGTAACGCCGAGTGGGCTATAATCATCTCATATACAACAAGCGCGACAGGATCGGATAATTGTTTATTAACCTCCTCCTCCCCAATATTGAAAGCTAAAACGAAATGAAGTAAGTTAAAAACGTCTCAGAAAATTACGAATACCCTTACCATATTTGTAGAGCATGGTGTAATAAAGACTTGGTTCATGTTTAGCGGGTGTTTATCGAGTTACGGATGCACGCGGGAAGTTTGGAGAGCACAGGAGAAGCGTGAGCAACTTTAGCTTCCTGAGTGCTCTCCAAACTTCCCGAGTGCATCCATAACTCGATATACGCACATCTAAAAGCATGAACCAATTCTTGTACATACCATGATGTCTCAGCCAATGAAAACTCTCGAATTGCATTATCCAGTGATGTTAATTTAATCGTCATATTCATTACACCGAAATTGTCAACATAACAAATTATAGCGACGACGTGGGCAGTCAAGACACCCTTGTATTGTAATCACTAGAAACGAGATCGGAGAATGATTTTTTTTTTCCAATGGGTGGGATTAGTGGTAGATTTTGAAATTATTAGAGATACGTAAGAAGAGAACACGTCAACCACGGGATTGTAAAGAATTTCCTTGAGAGTGTGAAGATGGCAGGTGTTAAATAATTGTTAGATCTTTGATGTTTCGCTCTTGCCGTTCACAGAATGATTTGAAATAACTTTAGAAATTAAACATTTATTCCCTGTGGGTTTGTGTTCATTTGCTGTCATACAATGAGCTCTTGCTAGCCTACATGTAGTAAAACATCTTTATCTCGTCTTATCAAGTACAAAACCAAAATGAATCGTGACTTTCACCATTCCATCAATTTTCTTCATTTGCCATGCCACGTGGGGAAAAAATAAACTGTCATGGAACCTTCAAAATTAATGTTTCCAGTTGTTTCTCAAGCAACTCATAACCAACACTGGTGACACTTAAAAAAAATCGTTGACTACAGTTCAATGAAAAAAAAAAAGTCGTTGTAAATGGGATGCAGACATAAAACCCAAACTTGTGTACTCGTGTCTGCTTACGCCATCGCAGCGATCTCACTACATCGTAGTGGACCATAGTGAGATACGTAAAGTGGATCATGAAATGAGTCGAATTCATCATCGAATATTGAGCTTAACTATTTCGGTACAAAACTTAAAATATTAAATCCTCTTCTTGATTTGAGACATTCCTTTAAGTCTTCGCGGTGAGGATGAAATATCGTCTGGTGGTTGATTTCCTGTAATTTGTCTTCGTGGCAATGTTGACATTGTAGGCAAAAACGAGTTAAATGGAACTAGTGATTTTGACATGTATAAAAATTAATGTTATTTATATTTGCTCTGTAGTATTGGACTATTAAGTGGAACCAGCTTGTGTGGTTTTCAAAGTCTGATAAATCGTTTTTCATTGATAGATAGATAGATAGATAGCAATCTTGGATCAAACATGATAGGCACATTTGAATTTCCTCCGCTCCTGATTGGTTCACGCTACTGATTCTGCGGAAGTATTTATCAATACCTGTGTTATAAATAAGAACAGAATTTTTTTAACAAACAAAAGTCCTTTCAATAGGAGTCGTGTCGTTACCGAGCTGATAACTGCTATCGAGAGAAGATAACATGGAGAAGTTTGCTCTTATCTTCATCGCAACAACTCTAATTCTCTCGAATTTTACTAATGCGAGAAGTCGTTGGACAAGAGATGTTCAACCCCCGAAAAGTTTCCTTTGGAAAGTTTCTACCTTTCACAGACCGTGGTATTCGGGACGAAGAGAAGCCGAATTCCCCAAGAAGGTATTTGAAAATGCGCCCTAAACTTTTCGCGTCATAGAAATCGCAGTAACAAAGTGATGCCACAACTCTAAACTTTCTTCAGTTAGTTTCCAGTGTTAAATTAACATAAAACAATAGACAGGCTTTGGTTTGAAGTCGCCAGCTAACAATATAAGTTTTAAAAGTCTTTTCCAAGAGTTTTTCTTTTGTAACGTCAGCATCCTGTACTTTATGTGGAGTGGTACATGCAGATAAGTCCATTCTGACCCTCGACAAACTTGACACAAAAACACAGCACTATCTAGCATAAATTAGTGGTACGAGAGAACTTTAGAATAACATACAAAAGAAGCTTGATATCCTGCGGAGATTAGCGTCGTGACAGGAAAAAAAATGAAGCAAAATGTGAATGAATTGATCTGATCAAGCGGGATTAACATTGTATAATTGTGACAGTTTACGAACAATCAAGAGCACTAGTTACTGGAAATTTTTCCACTTACGATATAAAAGAGTTTTATCTTCCTTTCAACAACAAGAAAGCGAATAAGGGTTATACTTTGTGTTCAAAATAAGGCCTTTGAACATGATAACAACTTCATCTGGATTTTTTTTTCAAGGGGAAGATATATATCATATTAAGGCCTATTAGTATTTTTAGTGTTCAGTGGGTGGTATTTCTGGGCATGATAAATGAAAAATGTTGTCAGGAGGCGCATTAGTCCAGTTTTAACACAGAACGTGTCCGGTTCAAAGGGGAACGAGTAACCAATGTTTTGCCAATTATCAGACCGGTTAAATCAATTCTCCTTTGTTTAAAGCCTTTGGTATTGATATAGCATGGACGTAGGGTTTCTCATTTGTGCCCAATAGGTAGATAAGTTTAAACTGCAAAGCTAAACATTGCGTTTACAGAAATGATTGTTTGACTTTTTTTAATGAATTATCGATGATTCTTGACGTGGTACAATAGTTTTCGTTTGAATTACAAGAAATTATCAGTAATTAATCGGAGTCTTTACCGGTGCAATTAAACCCACTAGACATGGTGTTCTCCGGTCTTCCGATTGCGTCTGCCATTAACAGGTTATAAATCAGTTTGTGCGGAAGAGAGGAGAGTCAATTCAAATTGAGCGAGGGAGCAAAGATTTTATTTACCAGCCAAAGCTGTCAAATCAGTTTAAAAGAAAGTGCACGTCGGACGAAGCATTCGACTTGAAACTGTCCACTCGGCCGGTTTTCAAGACTGTCCAGGGAGGCAAGCCGTAAATTTGCTACGAATAATGATAATTAAAAACACGAAACACAAAATTGACAAAGAAGGAAAAACACCTGTAAAATACCTTATTCTGTAACGCCGCGGCGTGATATGTTGGTTTGGGTATCGATCCTCCTTCCTTGTACTATAAATTTTTGTGAAATTAAATTTGAAAACAAAATTGCGTTGACGAACGAAGAGCTAAGCTGATTTTCGGAAAGAACGCTTCGGCAAATGATAGGTCCGTTTGATTCAGTTTTCTTTTTCTTTGTCTTTATGCAGGTTTAGTTAAACAATGTAAAAAGGCTATCTCAAGAGCTGTTACTTGCATATAACCATAGAACTGGAACTTTTATTCCAACCCATCAGACCAAAGCTATCGCTAAAAGAATTCCTTTAACTTATCCAAAATATATCTTAGTGCTTTTGTGAGCATTTCATTGTATTCCTGGCTAGATCCAAATTTGCGTTTCATTTACTCAGTGATATCTGAATAAGAAAAGACAAAAGAGAAACCAAAGATTATTTCACTTTGCATATCCATTGTATACAATATTTATCCACCTTTTCATCATGCCTACATGGGGGTTATTGACCGGGTCATCATACTTTTAAGAACAGCTTTTTGAAGCACATCGTCTTATCACGCTTCCTAACACTAACGAACGCGCGTAAGGTTTAACAAAAGTTCCTAAGTCTTGTCTTAAGATACCGAGCAATAGCGTTTTCTGTTTGCCCTAAATTTCGTTTAAACAATTACAATTTATTATAATTATTGCATTGACAATTTCATTATTAATTTCTCAAAGCTGACTTTTCCTGTCAAGTTTTGGGTTTCTTTATACCCTTTCTTTACGCACATTATAGGTTTCTTTTCGTAGAGGTTATCTGTCCAATCAATGTTCTGTAAGATTTGCTACATAAGCCGCGTTGATCAAGGAAAGAAAATCGTCAGTCTAAAGAAGGTGGAAATTGCTCATTTTCATCGTAAGCAGTGTCTAATATCAGATCAGTTTTCTATTATTGATAGGTCACTTCACATTTCCCACTCAGTACTTCCTTCTTGTTTCAAATGCTAATCCTCTAACTCAACAATTGGCTCACCCACCACTGACTGTGGTGACTGTGTGTACAAAGCGATTGACATAAATTTCCTTTTCAGGACAAGAGAGTTTCATTGTCTTTTCTTGTTTCCTAGCACTGATCGCTTCCCGATCGTAAGATTTCTTCTGTCTCGGTCGTTCTTAAAATTCATCATATAAAAATCGTAGTTGATCCCAGATACAATTTAAGTCTCTTTTTTACCTTACTTTAATCTAGCTGATTCAGTAAAAGCTCATTATCTCTTGATAAAAGTGAAAGCGATGGAAAGAAGAGGGCACAAAGCGCAAATTAGCTTATTCTCTCTTTCAAGTAGATTGCCAACTCGTCAAATTTAATATGCCTGACACTATTAAGACCACTTGATTGAGTTTTGCAGCGTTATTTTAATTAAAAGTGTCATAGAACCACTACCTATTAATTTTCCAATTTGTCATTTTCAGGTAATCAAGACATCAATTTATTCCTTTAATTCTTTTCGTCAGAAAATCAACACCAAGTGAAATTAGCATCAATACAATGTGTTTTAATATTCTGTTAAGTATAACTGCATCACTACAGGACATCAGAGTTAGATTTAACTGTATAAGTTTTCACTATACATGCTAAACAGTTTTAGTTCCTAACAAAACCACTGTTAAAAAAGTTTGAGTGATACAGTATTTTAAAGAAATAGTTTTGGAATTGTATTCTCGTTATATTGTTTTCAAAACGATTGAATGGACAACGGTTTCAAAACTTCTCAAATTAAACCGGATGTCATGAAACCGACAAATCGTTATAAAAGGGCTTAGCGGTTCTTTGTCGTGAATAGTAAAGTTGAAACGAAATCATCGTTAATCTGTCAAAAACATATCAGGTAAGACCATTCCCATCCGATGTATAACTTGAAGATGGCAAGATTACTTCAATTTGCTGCAATTCTCTCTTTAACCGTTTCGTTGTGCGCGTTAAGAACGAAAGGAGAAAATGAATTGGAATCTGTTACGAACAAACAAAAAGGTTTGAAGATGCTCAGCCACAGACCGTGGTATTCTGGTAAACGCGACGATTATCGTTTACGCAGCGAGGTAGGCAAAAAAATCTCTGCTAATTAAACAGTAAAAAGTTGGAGACAAAATTACTTTCTTTTTCAAGTGCTAAATCGATGACAAGCAGTACGCTTTTCGCCTTTGTCTATTTAAATAAAACTGTCGATTTTGTCGGTTCTATGGATAACACAGTTTCGCCGAAAAACATGTCCGAACAAACGTAAGAATAGTTACTTTAGCAATCTTTCTATTTAAAACATGAAATAACGCAACCACGTGAAATTTATGTCGAAGATACCGTAGGTCACCTTTAAAAGTGTTACTGCTTTGCACTAAGCATGCTACATGCTAAGGAATAGCAACAAACTTGAGAATACTTACAGAAACGTTCGATGCATGCAACGATGTTAACCTTGTGAAATTTAAGATTGAAGATTGTGGGCTTTGTTTACTGAAAGAGATTATTTCGTACAGCCCGGGCCTTTTTCAAAAGATGAAAGAACAATAGACAATAGATTAGGGTCAACACACCAAAGCTGCTCGGTGTAACAAGAGGCCACAAAAAAGATGTACCACAAATGTACACAAAATTCATGATAAACAGAAGAGGCTGGAGGATCTTTCCGTGCAATTTCAAGTCTTGATACATGAATTTTATTGTCCCTCACTTACTTCACAATGTTATTTTAAAAGGCACCTGTTGGTCATACTGGGAAAGTTTTTAATATTTTTAAACTGAGAGTTTGCTTGAAATGTAAAACATCATCATATTTCGTATTCGAAACAGTTCAATAGCAAGAAGGTTGGATTGATGCGAAAATTATTTCCCAAAGTGCGCCAGTGTGAATAACGGGGGATATTAGCCGAGGTGCAAGTAAATATAGTCCTCTGTTCACCCAAACTCCGGTAAATAAATCTCATATTACTTACCTTACCAGTGAATGGGCAGAAATAAAAGAGCCAATTTCCTTTGCTTGTATTACAAGACGTTCTTATTTCTCGCGCGGTACATACCCACCGTTATCCAATAACAATGAGGTAATAAGCGTTAGTTATATCAGTATCCAATCTTTGAATAACCCGGGTCAGGATAAATCATAGCTTCCTTTTGCAATGTGAAGACGTTAAGCGAAGAAAGGTTCAGTCGTACTTTGAGACTAGTTGATGTGCGGAATATCTCGAATAAGAATCAGCCAATCAGAGCGCTCCATTCATTGACTGACCTTCACTGGTTTTAAGTTGTCTGAATTGAGAAATGGTAAAAAGCCAGCTGTTGAGAGCATTTTGGGCCGTTAACTTGCCTGTTGTCATTTAAAACGTTGGCTTCTTCTCGGTTATCATACGGCGACACACTATTTGACAGGTAAATATTCGCCCTTTTATTTTTGGCAGTTTTGAATGGTAAGTTTTTCTCAGAGACAGGTTGGGTATGAATTTTTGGCCAGTTTTCTCTTCCGTGTAGGAGAAACGCATATTGTCCTCTTGATAACTGCGAACGAGCCACGCCCACATCGGCTTAGTCTCCTTCGCAGCCATTATCAGGGTCATCACGCAACGCTAGAAGCGTTGCGTGACGACCCTGATAACGGCTGCGAAGGAGGCTAACATTGGCTGAAACCAATACCTATCGGTTTGTATATTTTATGTGATCTGTAACCATCCTATAACCAGCTCAAAATGTGCTACAGACTTTAATGATAGATTATGGATGAACGTTTCACCCATGTAAATGTCAGTTTGGATATAATTTTCTTTTCCCTGCCGTTTAAGTTCAACGCTTATTGCCCGCTTCAAAACTGGGGACGAACCACACCCAAATAACCAAATTGGAAAGCCACATGAGCCTAAGCTGGGTTTTTTTTGTGAATTGGAATTTAGATATGTTGGAGAAAAACCCTCAGAGCAAGGCGAGAACCAACAGCAAACGCAACCCACATATGGCACCGGGCTGGAATCAAACCCAGGCCACATTGGTGGGAGGCGAGCACTCTCACCAGTGCGTCATCTGGTGTTACGTGTATGTAAGAATTGCTATTGTTTCTCTCACAGATAGGGATCAGCCAAACAAGAGGATTTGATCAAGCAGAGTGGATTGTTAGGAACAAAAGCTAGGAACAAAAAACTTAACAGCAGCAAGCAATAATAAACCAAGATGAGCAACTTCACTGACGCAGGCCTGAAAAGATATATCTTATTCCTTTACTTTAAATTGATACCTGTGTGCTAAACTCTGTAAACAGACAAATGGTTAAATCAGGAAAAGAAGTCATAAGTTATAAGGATGGAAGTAAAAATCAACTTATTACTTTTATTGTAACCGTAAACGTAACACAGTGGGTTTAAAATGTTGGCTGAGCGACTCGAGAGAAGAGCAAGAAAGTCAACTAGATGATGTACTGGATATTAAAGAATTTCTCTTTAATTTTTATGGGCGTTCTTTATTTAATGATCCGCTGTGTTTACCCAGGCAATCTGATTGGTTATCAATTCTCCTTAATGATTGACACCAACACTTATCTAGTTCGTGACACATCAAGAAAAACAAAGCCTGGTGCGCGTACACAACTGCAAATTTCAAATTAAATGGGAATTCAGTTTGCGCGACTTTTCTAAAGCGTGATTCCTAGTGATTCCTAAGAGGTAATAGTTGATTCGGTCTTTACCCTCATCAACTATCACCTCCTAGAAATCTCCAGCTCTTGATCTAATTATATCAGTGCTAACCAGAGGCGGCTTAAATAATTCCGGATCACGGAAGTCTGAGTTTGATGAAGCCTCGATCGGGGACTTCAGATTAAAGTGTCAGTGAAATCGTAAGTCAGTGATTCCCTCAAGTACTTATATCCTGTTACTATCACCGTTATGGAGAGCTAGCTGTTAATAACCATCGTTGATTGATCAGAGTGTTATTGATCCTCGCGCGCTTCGCCCACGAGGATTAATAGCGCTGAGCTAAACAAAGGAGAAAAAGGATTGTTTCGCAGTCTAACAGAGTATCATTTGGACTAATTCCTGCGCACGTTTTCTCATTACACAAGTTCACACACACACACGTTTCCTTTACGACACATGAAAGAGGAAAGATGAAAATTTCCGATCAAATCTTTGAGTAGATAATGGACCATTTGATGGCTTAAAACTAATCTTGACAGTATTTTTTTTCCTGCTAGCATAATCGAAGGAGGCAGTTTAGCGCGACTTTACCACACGGAACAAATACAGCTGTCACTGATTACTACAAGCACTTTTATAGTGAATGAGACAAATTAATTTTGTAAAACACAGTGAGGTAAATTAATTAACCCTTGGTGTGAATGAGTTTGGAGACTCCAAGTAGAATACATTTGTTTCCTGTAACACTTTCAATCAAACTTATCAGCAAGTCAATTCTGTTTCTAACATTTGATAGAACACGGTTACCTCGTTAATGAAAAAATATGGTATATACAGTAAAACTTAATTTCGTCCTCGATCTATTGACAAAGAAATCAAGCAATGCACTTTTGACGCAAATTGTTACCTTGAAATAGGCTTACTAAAGGTTCGACCACAGTGTTGCGTTTTTTTCGTTACAGAATCAACTTGCTCGGCTGAGTTATTTCCAGTTTATATTAGGAGGAGATCGCGTTTCTTTAAGCTTCGTAATACTAAGTGCTGGCTGAGGCAACTGATCAAAAACAATAGCGTTCATTCTGTAACTGAAGGTACTACGTTTAACACTTCATCCTCTTTCCCAGATCATTTCAGTCGGCCTTACTCTAAAATATTACTCTACTTTCCGAACTGACCAAATGATAGTGCACGTGTTCTATATGACTTCACACAATAACAACCGTCCTTTCGAATCAAGTTATAATTACGGCCCAGTGTGTGATTGAGTAAAAAACCGATTCCTTCACAAGACCACGACGTTTCTTTCAAAAAAACTCACCCCATTGCATTTTCTTTTTTTTCCCGGCTAGACTGCGCAAAAAGCTTGTAAACTGCGACGCGACGGTGAAGCCTTTGTGTGGGAAATTTTTTGAGACGTGATCAATGAATGATCCTTCATTTGTTTTATGTTTAGCAAGTAATATTTACCTTTCTCCAAGAAAAACATTTTCGCGACCTCAACTGTCATAACTATTTAGGCAAATTAACGAAACCAGATCTTTCGTAATGAAATTTATTTATACTCAAGTGTTCTGGAAGAAAGACATTGTTCCGCCCACGATCACAGAGCGCAAATCAGCCACTTGCAAACATGCTAACAGACAGTCAACTTGAAACAATAATATCAGGAAGCGCTGGAAAGATTGTAACAAGTGTTTGGATATCTAGTGTACACATTCAAGCTTCATTAGTGGCGTGGAGACGAAAGTTAGTGGTAAATCTTGTCGACAGATTCTCGTGCCAAAGTTGAACTTGCCTCAAAAATAAAATAGGAAATCACCTTTTCTTGGAAAGATGTCTAGTAACGATAGCGCATGTTGAGAAACTCAAACTGCAGACATTTATACTTCTTAGTTTAATTCTTGAACAAGATTTTAAGCCAACATTATCTTTCGCTGCTCATCTTAGTGTATATTTTTCTCAAGTATCACTTGAAACTTTGTGTTCACTGAGTTAAGTGTCAGAGATCGATACTACACAGCTACTATCTACATGAACGATTTGAATTACTTGAACCTTGGACAAGCATATCGGTAATTCTACCAAACGTTTCACGCCTGATGTTGTGAAACAACACAAAAAGGCCAGTTGGAAATTAAAAGACTTGTATAGAACCTAATCAAGCAGCTGTTTTTGACAAAGCAAATAGATAACAGCCGCGATTAAGTAAACTTGTCTATTGCGTTGTGTCTTGAAACACCCATTGTATGTTTCGCATGACACATCAAATAGGGACCTAGAGCCGCCGGAAATTTGTACGAATGACTCAAACATTTGAAATGTTTGGAAATTTGAGGAAAAGCATCAGAAATCGGAAATTAAATTGCCACAATGGCCCTCCTTGTCAAATATTTAATGAAAAGGCCACTTTTCTTTGTGCAGATTCAAAGCTTTCTACACTGAAGTCATGGCGGCCTACCATATCGTGTCGTTTACACTTTCAGACAGGTCCTAGACCGGTAGCGAACGTCAGTTAGAGAATTTACTCGACACTCAAAGCTGTCAGCCACGTTAGAAGAGACTGACGCATAAGATAAAGTATCAGACAAGAGATATTCCCTATTCTCTTTTCTGGTACCTAAGAGTGCGTTTTGACTTCGGATAGTAGTTTGCTATGTCGGACAAGAACGAAACCACAAGACAGAGATTTGTTAAGGTACGTGTGGGCTAAGCTTTTTTAACTTTTGGTCAGTATAGAAGGTCTGAAAACACGCATGCTCACGGTAAAACGCGGCTAAAGAGGGCTCGATACGATAGCACGCTTAAATCATGCGAAACCAAAGAATAGTGGTTTGATATTGTAAAATAGTACTTGACAAATGAGAGGAGCCAATAGTGAATGAGAATAGCCGTGGCGACGATGGAAATGGATTACGATAAGGACAAACTTTGTAACGCGAGGTTTCTGGCGCGCTTTCCATTTGTATGGATAAAGCAGTTTTTCTGGTGGCAAACCAAGTGGAACTAGCCTTTCCATTGAAAATGTTTCGGAAAATTTGGACCTGATACCTTTTACCGGAATAATCGGAAAATCCTTATAACATTTGCTTTTTTACACTATTCTCATACTCCTTGATAAAATACGCAGTCGATTCGGTGGGACATGAAAAGAAGCAGTCCTTTCCATTGTAAGATTTTCAAATGCTGTCAAATTAAAGGTACAGACTCATCCTGTCTTACTTTGTTTACAGAAAATTTGTACTGCTCCGTTTAGCGGAGAATTCTCACCGGTTTTTCCACGCAAATGAAAAGCCCTCCTGGTTTTAGGTTTGCAACAGATTCTCTGTAAATTAGCGAAGATTGCTCTTACAACAAGTTAAGTGGACAGTAAAAGTAAGGAGAATTGCTTTGTATATAATTTGTCTATTCGCTTTTATTCCCGGTGTAACCTTAAACTTTAAGGCAACAAATGTTTCTGAGAAACATTTGTTGCCTTGGTTAGTAAGGCAGTTACCAAGGGGTGATGATGTCTAACCTGTTGATCGCTATTCACGTACACCTTTGAGTACTTTTAATTATTTGTAATTAAAAACTATGAGAGGGGTCACCTAGGTCGTTTGGAAGAAAAACGAGCATTTATTTCCCTGACGAAATTAGCTTGAACGAAGTCTCACGATGTTGCGAACGTGCGCGCACGATAATGACATGCGATTAACTTTCCTGATTAATAAGAAACTCTGACCAAGTCCTACAACGGTTTCATAATCTGTGCAAATGCTGAAAGTTGAGGTATTCCTACTCTAGCACCAGAATATCTAAACAAAGATTCCGGGCCGGATGGAGTTTTTGTTGAGGTTTTGGATTAACATGATCACCTTCACAAACAATTCTCTCGGAGTTTCTCTTTAATTGCGCGAATTCAATGTCTATGATTACACTTTCACTTTCGCGAACTTCCCTATAAGACCTATATGACACGTGAAATTCAACAGGTATGAGCTTATCTCCTAGCGTAGGGACAGACGGACTTTCGTACGTACGAACAGTCACGTGACAATCAAAGTTTTTTAGATCGATGGGTTACCAAACTTTCTAAGGTATGGGGCTCCATTCATACGTCTTCGGCTCGCAGGAGCTCCGCTATAATGAACAGATTTAATGAAACTCCTTCACGGCGTTTTCAGTATTCAGGTCATTATCACTGATAGTTTTCTGTTGTATTGCAGCCAGCCATTATTAGGATGAATAACAAACTGAAGGTGTTGTTATTTACCGTTGTATTACTGGCAAGTATAGTTACCGAGGGTGAAAGTTTCACCAGCGCACATGGCGGAGTAGGACGCAAGCGATCCACTAAACAGGTAAAACTAGACTGACCAACTAACCGACTGGCCAACTGACCGACTGACTGACTGATTGACTGACTGACCGACTGACCGACTGACTGACTGACTGACTGACTGAAACTGAACCGAAAGCTTCAATTGCCCACAGAATGCATTGCACGCCCACAATATAATCAATAATGATCGAAATATGGTCTGTCTTCTTTAATTTTAAGCTTTCGGAAGTGAACAAAGTGCTGCCTCTTAGAGAAAGACATTTTCGACTGGATCAAGAGGTAAATTAACACAAATAGTTTATTCCAAAGCCTTGATTAGGACAGACATAAACCTGTATTACCCTATCGCCTCGTGTGCCACTTTTTTGTTCCTACCACATTTACACGTCATCTGTGATCTATTACTGAACAGACGCACGGCAACATGGAATCTATTTGTTTAACTGCTGATTTTTTTGTGTGTTCAAAGGACTCTGACGTAGTACGTGTTCG